CGAAGTAAAGTTTGGTTTTTGTTTTCATATTTATTTTTGAAATCATTTATATAGAAATACAAGTTAAAACATGGGGTTTAATCACACAAGTTATCTATCCCGTAGCATCTTTACGTATAATTATCGTTCGTTATGAAAATGTAAAATGAATTATTACAATATCATTGTAATTTTCTACTAATTTCATTTTTTTCTCATAGGAACCATACTATGATATAATATTATATCAACGAAACTCGACAATTATTCGTCAATCAAATGGATTATGTGTTCATGAATCAATACATTGTCATTCGACAAAAGATGATAATCATCATCGAATTAATCCAACATATGAACAACTCTTTGTCAATGAACATGCTAAAGAGATTTGTAATCAATATCATGAATCCATACGTCACATGATGGAAGAATTAGATTTACCTTTGATTAGTCAAACAACACAAGATCAATCGATAACATCCTGTATCAATGATCTTGAATTAACAGGAAATAGACAAGTAAATATTAACATCGAAATTATTCATATATAAAATCTTTATGCATATACATAGTTTGCAAAAAATATTCTGCAATTATCATTATTTGACAATATCAACAATTTTGACATACGTGAAAATCAAATAAATAAATATTTAGAAAAAATTGATTATGCATTACAAAAAACTCTTCAAATTATTGATAATTACACAATAGAAAATGTTACTACCGACGAATTACAATCACATACAACATTAGAAGCTGAAAGTTCACAAGAGACAATAAGTGAATTAATAACTACAACAACATCGACATGTAAGTTCAAGAATTTACAATATAATAATGGTTAATTCTTATCCTCTTAGCAAAAATGACTACCACTTCTACTACCACTTCTACTTTTACTACAACTTCGACTCTCATTCCAGAAAATAGTAATGATAAGGGTATATGTCATGTTTATGGTGATCCACATATTATTCGTTTTTCACAACAATCAAATATATTTCAAGATCAATATTGGTGTAAAATATCCGGTGAACATCGTATTCTTAAAAATAATTATGTTGAAATAAAAGTTTTTATTCAATATCGAACTTGGTTGATAGATAGTGTAAGTTTGAATATTCATATTAAAAAAAAAACGTTTTTTTTTATTTTTTATTTTTAAAATATTATTATTATTATTATTATTATTATTAGTTTAACATAACATTTTTCAAAGATAATGAAACAATTCTTTGTACAATTACTGATAATAATGAACAATATTGTAGTAGTTCAGGTAAATGAAGAGAATTGAAATATTTGATTATTTATCAATATGTATATATATATTACAAATAGAAATTAAAGTAACTCGTCCAAGTCTATCACAAATGAATATTTTATATGTCACACCTAGATTACATATATCAGTTGTTTCACATCAATACGAAGTACATGAATTTCTCCTATTAAAAAATAAAATATTTCAATGTTGTATTTTATAGTTACAATGGTATGATATAAGTATACGTATGCCTTATGCGCTGATTCGTCAATCACAAGGTCTTTGTATTATGCCATCAATTGGAAATTGTGAAATTGAAAATGAACAAGAAAATAATGTTAATCAATTATCTATATCAATATGTGAACTATATGTAACAGCAAGCCTGCAAGCATCTAATGAATTAAATCTTTTTAATGATGTAGACAGATATAGTAATGCATTAATTGCATGTATTCATGATTATGAAACAACAGGCAATAGAAATGTAAGAAAAATATATTGACAAAAAGAAAGAAGACACTTTTTTTTCCTCTTCTATTCTTATTATTAGTTTGGTGCAAGTGTAGTAGATATGATT